CCCATAAGTCATAGCTGACAGCCACTGTTCAGTCTTGCACATGGTAATTTAGGTCAGTTTTGTTCTTAAGGCTTACACAATGAAGCCGAGCATAATTACTATTGTGACACTAGGATTTGCAGAGACCGCTGTTCTGCTTACAATACCCAAGAGTCTGTTACATAGTCTTGCTTCAACAACTTTAAAGTGGATCTGAGACTGTGTAACACGAGGATCATCCGTTTTCAGCAGGAATTCCGGTGTGTGTGGTGTGTGTCCAAGCTTCAATATCTTGCTTGTCGGCCCCGCTGGCTCTCAAAATACTGAAAAATCTGATTGGATGCAGGCACTGTTGAGGTATTATGAGAGCCAGCGAGGCCGACTAGCAAGATACTGAAGCTTGGCACAATGGGAGATTCCTCCATCCACACAGTTTAGCGTAGATGGAGGAATCTGTTGCACTTTTTGCATCTGACCATAGAAAATCTGCAGATAATAGGTGTATGGGCAGCTTTAATGTCCCATCATGCCTCAGCAGCAATTGTCAATTCCTCATATTAAAAACTGCTGCATGTAATGCTGCTGGTTGCTTTACCTAGCTTTTTGTACTGTATTTTTGTTTTCCTTCACCCCCATGCCTGACTTCCTCTGCACATTTTGGGACAGTCTAGCAGTACATCTAAAAAGGGCTTAGACAGGAGATGCAACATATTTATGAAAGGTACAGTCATGTACTTGTCTCTGCAATTGGGACACTGCCTAAAACTGCACATTTGGTATACCTTCTGTATGGTCCTAATTAGGTACATCAAGGTACAATATTATTGTGCTCCTGAACATCTTATTAGTTGTCGCGCAACATGTTTAGAAATCGCCCCGCCTTTGCCGAACCCGAAGTTCCATTGGTGTTAAATCTTAATACATTCAAGTACCTTTAACTATTAACAAAACTATCTTATTTGTATATCACTCGGCTCTGGTTCCTCCAGTCATCTCTGAATTGGTGCTGACACTGTCCTTCCTGTGTGTGTCGCCACCGCTCCAAGCTCACTCCTGTGATGGGACTACAATCAATACAAAGTGGTAAACTAAACATGACATTGTAGTCTATCACAGGTGTGAGCTTGGAGTGGTGGCCATTTTAAAGCACACACAGTGAGCACTTGGTCATGTAAATGTTTAACACCATCCTAGTAACCCTCATTTACATAAATTATTGAGGAAAGCAATATTGGTTATCCATAAGTTTCCTGGAGTAGAAGATCTTTGTACATATTGTGTGGCCTACACAAGGCACACACAAAATAAATTGTGTATTTTTGCAGTCCAGTTACTTTCCTCTTCATAGCTGGAATATGGTTTCATTGGACAACCGGCATTTCCCTGCCTCATGGTTCTAATTAGCCTTGTGTGCTTCAGCTCTGTTCTCACGTAGGCCCCGTTCACACCAATGCTTTTGTCGTATGTATTATAACGCACTGAAGAGCTCAAAACAAGAAATCCCATGAATTTCTATAACCCCCGTTTACACCTGTGCGTAGTGTCGCCCGTGATCAGCCATATTTGTCCCTAAAGACTCAATGGGAAATGCTTGAAATCGCACGCTGCAATTATTGCGCGTTTTACCCATTTACATGAATGTGCTCATAAAAACGTGCCAAATAAAGTACAGAATCAGCACTGAAACGCTGTCGTCTTGGTGTGAACGGGGGGGCTTAATAGGAAAGGTCATATTTGCTGACTGTAAGCAAACAACCATTGTAAATTAATTTGCTTCTACTTTAATAGAATTCTTCTCATTTACATACGTACTAAAAATTCCACAACAGTGTACGAATACATCATAAAACTGTCCCAGTCCATTCTGCTACAGTTATACACCTTTTTTATACTGGGGCCTGTTTTCTCGGATACCATTTAGCCTTCCACCATGCACTTGGATTGGGTGGAAATTCTAGCTCTCTGGGGACACCCATGAATCAGAGTAAACATGGATGCTCCTAGCTGATGGCGTCCACAGTGGTATTTCAGCCCATAACCCCACATCTGTAGGGCGGTCCCCATAACCCCACATCTGTAGGGCGGATTGGCTAACCATGAAGTCGCTGTGCTACCCTGTTTTTAGCGGTTTATCATTTTTGTGAAAACAATGAACAGTTTACTTTTTAGGTAGGGGAGTTGAGAAACAAAATTACACAAATACACATACAATTATTTTTTTTTCATTTGCAGTGAAGCATGCAGTTATTTAAAGGCTTTTTTTTTTCCTACTCTAGGTACATCCCTTTTGAGGTGACTGCCAAGTGTTGTATTGCAGTCTGTAGAGTTCTGCACTGCATATATTTATACTCTTCATGTGTTTGATGTAAAGTGTGAAGCTGTTAATAGCCATTTTCCCACTTCATCACTTAGTTGTGAGGTGATGTGCAGAATGTGTTGGGTTTATATTGACAGCATAGAGAGCCGTATTCCTTAGAAGTTAAAGCAAAAAAAAAAAATTGTCTCTTAAAAGGACAAGTTTTGAAATTACTTCTTGTAAACGTGAACCATTATTGAAGTGGAGTCCAGCTCAAGCCACAACTTTCTTGGTAGAGTGGGTAAGAATAAGAAGCTTTGTCAAGTCGTCCTTACTGTCTGTAGCCATATTGGAGAGATGTCCTGTCTCTGTGACACCGGTACAGGAAATGATGGTGTGGGTGTCACCAGGGAGATGGCAGTAAAAACAGATATCCTGACCTCTCCCCAGGCTACTAAATAAAACCATCTCTGTCCCAATCAAAAGTAGATCCAATCACTTCCTTTTATTGGGACACATTGAAAGGAGGGGAACGTTGGACAACAGTAAAAACAGGACAAAAAATAAATTCAAAGGCTAGCATTTACAGTACACTGCAGGCTCCTACATGTACCTTTTAGAGGTTAGAGGTCAGCAAACTTATCTGCCTAGGTAGGTATCCCCCATTCTCAAACACTCTAAAATACATATTCTTCAAATTGGAGCTTCAATGCCACTCCCAGCATCCCTCAGTGCCCCTCATTAGTGGCTGTGTAAGTGACGTCAAGGATTGTATACGGAGTATGTTTAGGATAAGGAGCTCCCTAAACTGCAGGGATGATGAATGTGGAAGAAAAGGGGGAAATATTGGCTGACAAAGTTCTCTAACTAGAGCTGAATGCACAACAAGTCACTGTTGCTGGACTGTTGAGTTTTTCAAATGCTTTTTCAGAATGCTGCGATTATAGCACTTTGTCCATTGTGAGACACAGGGAGTCTTTCATTTTAGGGTTACACTGCCGCCTGCTGGAGAATTGGCTACATTTGCAAACAAAAATATTAGGGATGCACTGATGCCAAGTACCGTATTTGGTACAACTACAGATACTTTTGCAGCTACTAGACTAGAGAAAAACTCAAGTTAGGAGGCAGCTGTCATTTTTAGGGAGTCTTGGCTACGTGTCTCCTGGTATTTGTGCATCCCTGAATAAATGTATAATTTGTTTGACACAGACACACACGCACGCTACCCTGTATGTATATATCTATAAATCCTTTTCTTTTTCTGCCTTTAAGGAATTAACAGATTTGCAGCGGGACCCTCCAGCCCAGTGCTCAGCAGGACCAGTAGGAGATGATAGTAAGTTTATCTGCTATTATATTTGTTTTTGTCTGACGTGTTGTATTAGAACATCCCACTGATATTTGTTTTCTCTTCGCAGTGTTTCACTGGCAGGCCACAATTATGGGACCAGTGAGTATTTTTTGGTTTTATGTAAATCTGTCTCGGGACATATGAGCATAATCTTATGTAGGCCTGATTTGTAGAACTAGAGGAAAGGAAAGTAGGTGCTTCTCCTAAAGTTAGGTGACAGTCTGTGTCGTCTTAGACGTCATGTGCAACGTCTTCTCATTACTTGCTTCTAGTTGTAATACTAAAGGGCCATTGTGCATCTGTCGTTTACATAAGTCTTCTAGTAGGTGATATGTTGTAAAGGAGATTGGTAGGGAATGTAGACTTGTCCTTTTTACTTTTCCGATATTTTGGAGGTCCTTCCCCTTGCCTTTCCTTAATTATGCCCATTCTAGATTCGAGCTGTGCATGGCTTCTTTATCGAATGTACCAGCCTTCTGCCTGCTCATTACGTTTTTGTCTATAGCAGCTGCACATCAGGACAGAGTTACAGACAAACTATTTCATGTTACAAGAAACAAACTTTGAAGCCTATTCATTTTGAATAAATTGCCTTTGCCATTGTGGTGGACTGCAAGACACTTGTGTTGCCTTAGTGCTTTTCAGTATGAATACCATCGCTGTGTGGCCCTGCAATACAAAAATATATCATACTGGCGTTAGTTGTAGCATCGTTTGCTTTCTAGGAGCAAGGAGCCTGCAGTAGGTGTATCACACATGGGTAAGAGAAACGGGGATAAAATCAGTTTTTAGGGAATTGTTTAGTTAGAGCCTCTATCATTATATTTATTGGTGCCCATTGTTGAACTTCTCTTTAGTGGGAATACAGACAATAGAATTCGGGCAACAGTTTCAAACTTTTAAAAGTGTAATTTAATTAAGTTTTAAAAAGCAAGCACTGCGATGTGTTGTAACATTGCATCACAGTGCATGTAGTATTCGCACCATAATGCATGTGTTGGTGTGAGCAAACCCTGATTTGATGAAATGGTGTTATAGATATAACATGAAGTTTTTGTTTCCTGACTGATAAAGCAATTTCATTTTTTTTTCTGCAGCCTGACAGTCCATATCAAGGTGGAGTCTTCTTTCTCACAATTCAGTTCCCAACAGACTATCCATTCAAACCACCAAAGGTGAGTAGCTCTGAGTGCACCAATGATTGTCATCTGAAAATCCTGCATATCCAACAAACATTGATTTAATATTTGACCTTTAACAGACTAGGATTGTTAGACTCCTTTTGGTATATTTCTTATGGGGCCCCACCAGTACCACTAGGGGGTGTATTGGAAAATCTTGCCAAGTAACAAGCACTTTGCCGGTGTATGTGCTAATTATTGCCCCCCTGTAAACCTCTGTACACACACACAGACACACACACATTTACTGCATGTAATGCAAAGATTGGCCAGACATCAGACAGTATATGGCTAGCCTATTTTTGCTCTACTGTATCAGAATTAAAGGCCAGGTTTACTCATGAGTGATCATTGACATACAGATGGAGCCTGATGAGCTGAGTTACCCTGTGGCTTTTTAAATCTCTTGGCAGCTCAAGCAGGAAGATTGCTCAACCATAGTAGTTCTTGGCTGTGTTCCTGCTCACCACATGAGTGGTTTCAGTGTTTATGTTGCATTGTCCATGTCCATTCTGCAGGAGTAAAAGCTCCTTGTGATGGCCACTAGGTCTGTTAGCCTGGACACTCAAGCAGAGCAATCTCCCCACTAGAGGCCCACAAAGCTAAAAGAAACCATTAGGTGGTTTAAGATTTCTAGCTTCAACCACAACCTGAAATGTTAGTTTTGCATTGACTGACCCTTTTAAACTTGTCAACCTGAAAAGCTTTTATTACAGTAAAATGTTGGGTATTTAAATATTTTTATTTTGCAGGTTGCATTTACAACAAAAATATACCATCCTAACATAAACAGCAATGGAAGTATTTGTCTTGACATTCTGCGATCACAGTGGTCTCCAGCATTGACTGTTTCAAAAGGTAAGTTATATGCATATGCACAAGCAAAATATATATATATTTTTTTTCTGGTTAATATTGAAATAGTTTATTCATATAAATTAGGGTTTCCAAAACAATGAAGCCACTGTACTAAATTTCATGTCCTTTTTACCTAAGACCAGCAGTCAGTTTTATTAGTGTAGGTGACAATTTTTATGGCTAGTAGACCTTCAAAGGTATTCCTTAAGGG